TCATTCATTCATTCATTCATTCATTCATTCATTCATTCATTCATTCATTCATTCATTCATTCATTTTATATTCAAAGTAAAATAAAAACAGAGAGTGACAGACCTACCTATGAACATCAGTGAAAAGGCACCACCAACCATGATTAAAGTCTGGAATGCGTCGGTGTAGATGACTGCTGCCAAACCACCTGCAGACACAGACATTGAACACCATTGTGAGTTTGAGTGTGGGACCAATAATACACCATATAAAAAATAAAACTAATCATTAAAAAACATACAGAAATTAAAGTTTTTATATTCCTTGATGGACAGCGTATTGCCTATTTTCTTTCATGCCAGAGTTTTAAATTAAGACCATGTTATGTGTGAGAAGTGAAGATGGTCAAATCTTGAAAAGAATGCAGTMCTAGATCTATTATGAAATGTTAGTGATAAGAGTGCATGTTGATGTTTACTCTCAGCTACCACAATAAATTTTGGTATCATCTTAATAGGAAGTTCGCTTCAAACTTTAATCTGCTGTAGATGTACATCCATTTCAAAAATCAAAATACTTTATTGATCCCAAAGGGAAATTTACAATGATTACTTTCTGAAAGTTCTAATAAAATTCATCCAGTGGTTCAAGAGAGATTTTTCAGACACAGATAGGGTTGACCTCAAGAGTTAATAATAAAGTTTTAAGCAAAGTTCTCACACATTGAGTTAAAAGTTTGAGTATGTTTGGGAATTCAATTCAGCTACGATCACACCAGATTCTGGCACAATATCTATACAGCTGGTTTTGGATAGTGGTAGTGCCTTTTTTCATCTGGCAGCTGCATCRTACTTGTAGGATGGACAGACCACARTAAATTCTCAACCAAGGCAGCTAGAAACAATAACAGGTGCCGCAAAAACTAATATCATCTTTGGGCCCATATAAGTTGCAAGGATCAGTCAAAATTAGAAAATTTAGAATTGAATAATTGAATAATTGCCTAATCGATCCTCCTCGACCCCAATTAAGTGATAAGGCACTCAATTAAGTTTTAGGGTAATTACCCTATGTGAGTGTGAACTAAATAAAGCTGAAAACACACAGCCTGGATATCACATTTTAATTCAGTATGTTTTCAGAAGTTAAATGGGTCTGATTTATTTTCAGTTGCACTATAAATCAAGCATTGCATGATTGACCAGATATGTAAACAGGGACATTTTCCAGAAAAAACACAGCCTTGTGGGGACCCACTGCTCCTTCTGTGTTTAGAACCAAGGTGTGAATTGAGTTTAGGCTAGATTTCAATTCAATTCGATTCAAAAATACTTTATTGATCCCAGAGGGAAATTAGGTAATATAAAGGTATCAGGTATTAGGATCAGGTATGTACTGGGGAGGTTAGGTTTAGGGTAAAGGGTCATGGTTAGACTGTAGAAATGACCAGAAAATCAATGCAAAGTCCCCACTGGGATAGAAAAAACAACTTGTGTGTGTTAAGGTTGTGTGCATACCTGCTACAGTGTAAGCAGCTGTGACCAGCAGTAATATGCCTGTAGACAGATAAAGATTCCAACCCAACGAAACCTGAATAAACAATGCTCCTGAAAAAATATCTGTCTTGACAAACAAGCACACAAACAAGCACACACACAAGCACAAACACACARACAAAAAGATGACTTTACCACTTTTTAATAAACTGGCACATCTGTGTCTAACGTATAATCTGACAAATATGTTCATACAATATGAAACTTTATTTGTGCATGCATGTATGTATCTTACTGATATTTTTGTGAAAACGTAGAGAATGAGGGACAAAACAGACATATATGTGCGAATCCTGCGGCCTCCGAAACGCTTGGCCAGATATTCAGGCATGGTCATCACACCAGCAGAGATGTAAACAGGGACAAAAATCCAACCTAGAGCCACCAGAACCCATGAAGCCTATCAACACACACACACACACACACACACACACACACACACACACACACA